CAGAGGTGCCCAAGGGCAACCGAAGTTCAGCTGCAGCAGAGGGCGCGCCTCCACCTTTCCACAAATGATTAACTCATTTTCACATGGACTTCAACAGGAAAGGCAATTGACTACTGCCCAATGACAGCCAGGGGGATTGCACAACAACAAAAGCACCCATCAATGCATCACTAACATTAAAAAGCATTCATTTCAGACCATAATACAGCCGCCCAAATAAGCCATTTGTTCAGATAATGACAACTTCACATCTTAAATTCATGGCAAACAAGGGAATTGGGCGGGCTTCAAGCACTGTCAGTGCAGGTGTAAAATCTTAGAATCCTAGGACCGTACAGTTGGAAGAGATATGAAGGGTCATTGAGTCCAAGCCACTGCTGCTATGCAGGAGCCACAACAGAAGCATCTCTGACAGATGAATATCCAGCCTCTGTTTAAAAACCTGCCACCTTCCAAAGGAGTCCATTTCACTGTCAAACAGCTCTCCTCACCAGAAAGTTGTGGTTTTTTTAATGGGAAAATGGCAGGGGGCAGGCAATTTAAGGCCCTCCCCTCCCCTCCCCACTCCATTCCCTTGGGTCCCTCTGGACTGTCAGCCACCCTAAAAAAAATACATGAGATGGGTCATGCCGAATGCATCTTGTTTCTTCTTTTGATAGAATTACAAGCTTGGTGGATCAGGGGAATGTTTGGGGACTTAGGTAAAGGTAAAGGGACCCCTGACCATTAGGTCCAGTCGTGACCGACTCTGGGGCTCGGCGCTCATCTCGCTTTATTGGCCGAGGGAGCTGGCATACAGCTTCTGGGTCATGTGGCCAGAATGACTAAGCCGCTTCTGGCGAACCAGAGCAGCGCACGGAAACGCCGTTTACCTTCCCGCCGGAGCAGTACCTATTTATCTACTTGCACTTTGATGTGCTTTCGAACTGCTAGGTTGGCAGGAGCAGGGACCGAGCAATGGGAGCTCACCCCATCGCGGGTATTAGAACCGCCGACCTTCTGATCGGCAAGTCCTGGGCTCTGTGGTTTAACCCACAGCATGACCCACATCCCTGTTGTGGACATAGTAGCACCTTAGAGACCAGCTAAGTTTGTTATTGGTATGAGCTTTCGTGTGCATGCACACTTCTTCAGATACACTGAAACAGAAGTCACCAGACCCTTATATATAGTGAGAGGGTGGGGAGGGGTATTACTCAGAAGGGTGGCGGGAATGGGTGATTGGCTGATAGGTGTGGTAAACCTGTTGACGTTAACGACTGCAATTGGTCTTACAGGAAAAAGCAAGGGGTGAGATGGCTAGAAATAGCTATATCATGTATAATGAGATAAGAATCCAATGTCTCCATTTTTATATTTTGATTTGACTACGGCAGACCAACACGGCTATCTACCTGTAACTATTCTGCCTTGGTTAGATAACAGCTGGAATACTGTGTCCAGTTCTGTGCACCAAAATTTAAAAAGGATATTGACAAGCTGGAACATGTGCATAGGAGGGCCACCAAGAGGATCAAGGGTCTGGAAACCAAGCCTTATGAGGAATGGTTGAAGGAGCTGGAAAAGAGGAGACTGAGAGGCGATACGATAGCCATCTTCAAATATCTGAAGAGCTGTCACATGGAAGATGGAGCAAGCTTGTTTTCTCCTGCTCTGGAGAGCCATGTGGTGTAGTGGATCGAGTGTCGGGCCAGGACCTAGGAGACCAGGGTTCAAATCCCCACTCAACCAGGAAGCTCACTGGGTGGCCATGGGGGCCAGTCACTCACTCTTAGCCTAACCTACCTTACAAGATTGTTGTGAGGATTAACGGAAAGGTGGAATAGAAATTACCGTATTTTTTGCTCTATAAGACTCACTTTTTCCCTCCTAAAAAGTAAGGGGAAATGTGTGTGCATCTTATGGAGCGAATGCAGGCTGCGCAGCTATCACAGAAGCCAGAACAGCAAGAGGGATTGCTGCTTTTCATTGCGCAGCAATCCCTCTTGCTGTTCTGGCTTCTGAGATTCAGAATATTTTTTTTCTTGTTTTACTCCTCCAAAAACTAGGTGCGTCTTGTGGTCTGGTGCATCTTATAGAGCGAAAAATACGGTAACTAATGGATTCAAGTTACGAGAAAGGAGAGTCCGCCTAAACATCAGGATGAGTTTTCTGACAGTAAGCCGTTCGACGGTGGGACAGATTCCCTCAGAAGGTGGTGGACTCTCCTTCAGTGGAGGTATTCAAGCAGAGATCAGGTGGCCATCTGTCATGGATGCTTTAGTTGAGACTTCAGCCTTGCAGGAGATTGAATTAAATGACCCTTAGGAGCGGCGGGGTGCGCTCCCGTTGTTCGGTCCCAGCGCCTGCCAACCTAGCAGTTCGAAAGCACTCCCGGGTGCAAGTAGATAAATAGGGACCGCTTACATTGCTCGCCAGAGCAGCAATGTCACGCTGGCCATGTGACCCGGAAGTGTCTCCGGACAGCTCTGGCCCCCGGCCTCTTGAGTGAGATGGGCGCACAACCCTAGAGTCTGTCAAGACTGGCCAGTACGGGCAGGGGTACCTTTACCTTTACCTTTTAGGATCTCTTCCAACTCCACAATTCTATGATTCTATTATTTCCTCCGGAAGCACGCCAGGGAACAATCTGGGAACGAGCTAGCTGGGTGGCTTTAGCTCAACAGAGGAAAACAAATGGCTCATTGCAGGCATCACCCATTGCAATTAAACTTTCAGATTAGGTTGTGAGTTCATTGCCATCACTGGCTTTGTTTGTTAAAGGGCACAGAGTGAGCAAAACAAGGGAAGGAGTCCTGTTCCCCAGCTGGACAGAGAATATGGCACAGGAAATTCATGGAGGAGGAGCCTACCGACGACTACTAGCCAGGATGAAGCCGAATATTGGAAGAATCAGGATGGATAAAAGGAAGAATTTTTTCATGCGGTGCAGAGTTAAACTACGGAACTCCCTCCCACAGGACACAGGGATGGTCAGCAACTTGGAAGGCTTTAAAAGAGGATTGGACAAATTCATGGTGACTATTTTGGATAAGAAGACCAGCCACGATGGCCCCAGGAGGGGAGAGGGCTCTTGTTCTCGGATCCTGCTGTGGGCTCCCCATTGCGGCAACTGCCCGGCCACTGTGAGAACAGGAAGCTGGACTAGACGAGACACAGGGTCTTCTTATGTTCATAAGAAAAGACTGGGAATGATGTTTGCCTCCACACCACTGGGCATTCAGATTTACCCCACCTTGTGTAAACTCAGGTTTCCACCACAGTATTTAGTATTTGTCAGTAATTTTTTTTTTTTGGGGGGGGGGGATTCTCAAGCACAGAAATTTGTGGATTGAAAAACTCTGTTGCCCTTCGGTCGGCGGAACTGGCAATGTTATAGCTGTAACGTAACACCCTTTCCACACTTGTAAGAACTCAATCTTTTTGTGTGGCAGAACCTGCACTTTGGAACTCCCTGCCAATTGATATCAGGCAGACGACTTCAGCCCCCCCCCTTCAGCACCTGCTAAAACATTTTCCTTTGGACAAGCCTCCCCAGATGCTTAGAAATGTCAATGTGAGTTTTGATCTGTTTTTAGTCGATTGTTATTTTGACTTCAAAAGTCTTAAGTTATGGTTGTTTATTTTTCTTGGTGATAATTTTGTTGCTTTATTATTATTTTTTTGTAAACCGCTTTGAGGTTTTTTCCACAATCAAAGCAGTGTATAAATTTTATAAAATAAACAGTGTAACAAATCCACTTTTTAAAAGGAGACTTTTTGCAGTTTGGAAAGTGAGGCAGAAAGGCTCTGAAATGTGTGTGTTGGACAAATCATTGATGAGAAGGCATCTAAGCCCAACAGAAGCAAATCAGGTGGAATCCTTACCAATCGGGGGGGGGGGGAATTATCAATAAAGATTGTCCGTAGTCTAAATTCTATGTTTTTTGCGAATCAAATAAGGATCAATTACACTCCTCACTATCCCCAAATCCCCCATCAACATTTTTGATTCTCTGCTGGTGGGATCAATTACAGGTCTAGGGTGCTGATAGGGTGCAGGCAGAAAGAGAATGTGTTGTGCTATATTTAGACAAATGGTTTTCTTTTTATAACCTGACCAAACACAAAAGCTCAAAACTAGAACTCACTCTTGGAGAACATACCGCGAGAGCTCACTCCTTTAAAACAAATCTTGCCTCTGAAATTGTGCAACGTGTGGCTCCACAACATAGGACCCATCTTATTTCTGTGACTAAGTTGTTTAAAATTGTTTTTAAAATTGTTTTTTAATTGTGTAACCTGCCCTGGGAACTGTAGTTTACCCTTCACAGAGCTGCAAATCCCAGAACCCTTCACAAACTACAGTTCCCAGGATTCACTGGGGGAAATAGCAAGCTTTAAACACACACTGTGCCACCCCCAAATACATTTTGGACTCTCCTCAGCTTCAATCTGAGTCTGCTCCACACACACATATTATGTTAACCCTTTGGGGCCCATGATCTGGACGAGGACTCAGCCCTGCAAACCCACTCCCACAGCTGGCACTGAAAGTCACAGCCCATATAATAATTTCATAATAATTTCATTATTTTCAATATTTTCAATATTTTTAATGTTTAATGTTTTACAGTTTTTTTATGTGTTGTAAGCCGCCCAGAGTGGCTGGGGAAACCCAGCCAATAGGCAAGGTATAAATAATAACATTAATTTATTATTATTTTTGTTTGTACCCCACCCATCTGATTGGGTCGTTCCAGCCACTCTGGGCGGCTTCCAGCATCTACAGAAACCTAATCAAACACTGAAAACTTCCCTGTATGTAGGGAAATATATATAGCAGGCTGACTCGGAGATGATTTGGGTTGATGCCTGCTATATTTGCTAAATACTGTACTTCCCGCATCATGCACCGTTCAGCAAGATTTTACGCCTTCCCTTCTGCCCTCTGTGCATGCTCCAGAGGCCGCAGAATCCCCACCACTGAGCAAACGAATAAGGGCAATTGCCTTCCTTACCCGCAGACATCAAGGGACATCTCTGTGCCCAGCACACAGACGGTGCTGGTGGGCTCCTCGGTGGACAGCCGGACCCATCTTTGCTCTGACATGTCGAGGGTGGTCCCTGCGCCTCGTTTGCGCCTGGTGCGTCTCTCCTCTCCCTCCTGGGCAGCAGAGTCTGCGCCTGGCTCTGGTTGCAGCCCCGTTGCAGATGATGCGATTAAGAAGCCACGGGCCAGCGGGCGCCACCCCCGGGGCTTTGCATCGTGCCAGGCGATAGGCTGCCCGGGGTTGTAATCCCACCTCCTGGCTCTCTGCAGCTGGGTTGGGTGCTCCGGCGGCAAGGGCTGCCAGTCCGGTGTGCGCGCACTCAGGTGAGGCGCACAGGTGAGAACTACCTTTGGTCTAGCAGTTAGCCGGAGGCAGAGAGCAGCAAGGCGCGTGGGTGGACTTATTTATCCTTCCAGCTGGGTAAAGTGGATGGACTGCTCCCTCCCTCCCTCTCTGGAGCCAAATTGTCTTGCTCCGTAAGGATTCCCCACCCCCCACCCCATCGCCTTCCTTATCTCCAGCTGGAAAACTAATTGCTTTATGGTTCCTACTAAGCTGGCAGCCTGTCGCTCCTGCTCAGGTGTGCCAACTTGAATAAAATATTGGCTGCAGGGCTGGTAAGCCCCGAGCCACATAATCGATCGCATAATGGAGTGCGTGCACACTATTTGAATGGCAATGCCCATCAACTAGTGGGTGGGCCTCAAAATATTTTTGGGGGTGGGGACGAAGACCCCTTAACCCCTAGGAGTTGGCTGTAATATTCAGTCACCCAAAGGAGGTGATTTTCCTTTTTGTATATAATTTTTGATAAGTTTTCTGTTTTACAAATTAAGATACAGTGGTAACCCAGGTTAAGTACTTAATTCATTCCGGAGGTCCATTCTTAACCTGAAACTGTTCTTAACCTGAAGCACCACTTTAGCTAATGGGGCCTCCTGCTGCTGTGCCACCGGAGCACAATTTCTGTTCTCATCCTGAAGCAAAGTTCTTAACCTGAGGTACTATTTCCGGGTTAGCGGAGTCTGTAACCTGAAGCGCATGTAACCTGAAGCGTATTTAACCCGAGGTACCACTATACTCATTTTACATCCTCAAGATATCAATGACTTCCCTTCTCTTTCCATGGTTCATTTTACATATTATAAATCCCTGCATATTTTGCAAAAACTATACCAATCTGTATTTCATTATTGCATCCATCAAAACATATTTACGCTGTTGAATTTATCTTAATGCCGCCAGTGTTTTCAGCTGTACACAATTACTTCTCATATATTCAATAAACGTTTTCCAATATTCTCTAAATGTATGTCCTTCTTGTTATCTTATTCTATATGTTAAGTCTGTGAGTTGTGCATATCCTGTCAACTTAAGTTGCCATTCTTCTTTAGTTGGGACCTTGCTCGTTTTCCATTTTGGGGGGCTAACAAAACATGGGCCGCAGTAGCAGCATACACAAATAACCTGATTTTTCTGTTGGCACCTCTACCCAGGATCACTCTGTGCAAAGGAAGCGGCCTTGCGTAGAGTCCATCTAGCTCAGTAGTGTCAACACTGGCTGGCAGAAGCTGCCTGGGGTTTCCAACAGGCCTTCCCTTAAAATAAAGCAAGCTTCTGGCCCTACTAGTTCTCCATAAAGGCTTGGTTTCAGCAGGAAGATGAGCAGCTGCCTTGTAAAGGGTCCTCAGTCCATCTAGCTCAGTGCCGTCTACACTGGCTGTCAGCAGCTGTCAGGGGTTTCAAGCAGGGGTCTCTCCATGCTTGGAGATGTTGCTGCTTCTGTTTCTTGCGCCAAAGCTCAGTTCTGGGATTTGTTTTGTTGTAGCAATAATGATAATAAATAGTGCTTCCTCTGGAATGGCATTTAGCATTGTTGTTGTTGTTTAGTCATGTCTGACTCTTCGTGGCCCCATGGACTGGAGCACGCCAGGCACTTCTGTCTTCCACTGCATCCCGCAGTTTGGTCAGACTCATGCTGGTAGCTTCGAGAACACTGTCCAACCATCTCGTCCTCTGTCGTCCCCTTCTCCTTGTGCCCTCCATCTTTCCCAACATCGGGGTCTTTTCCAGGGAGTCTTCTCTTCTCATGAGGCGGCCAAAGTATTGGAGCCTCAGCTTTGGGATCTGTCCTTCCAGTGAGCACTCAGGGCTGATTTCCTTCAGAATGGATACGTTTGATCTTCTTGCAGTCCATGGGACTCTCAAGAGTCTCCTCCAGCACCATAATTCAAAAGCATCAATTCTTTGGTGATCAGCCTTCTTTATGGTCTTTATGGTCCAGCATACTGAGCTGCAATGTAGAGAGCTGGGCTAGAACAGATGACCCTCTGGTGTACCTTGTGCATTCAGTGCATCAGAGAACTGCAGAGTTGGACGGGCTCCCTGGGGTCATCTAGTCCAGCCTTTGCATTTTATGTACAGTTACTGCAAGTTCTTTGTCACCCGTTGTTTCTGAAGAAAGTGTGTTTCCTCAGAAGGAAGGCTATCCTCCCTCCACCACAACAAAATGAGAAATTCTGATTGCAATGGATGACTAATGATTTCTTAACCAGAGAACGATGTTTGTCCATTTCAGAAAAGCATGGTCATTTCAGAAGGCTCAATGAGAGCCGCCAGTGTGGTGTAGTGGTTAAGAGCGGTAGTCTCGTAATCTGGGGAACCGGGTTCGCGTCTCCGCTCCTCCACATGCAGCTGCTGGGTGACCTTGGGCCAGTCACACTTCTCTGAAGTCTCTCAGCCCCACTCACCTCACAGAGTGTTTGTTGTGGGGGAGGAAGGGAAAGGAGAATGTTAGCCGCTTTGAGACTCCTTAAAGGGAGTGAAAGGCGGGATATCAAATCCAAACTCTTCTTCTTCTTCTTCTCTCCCAGACATTCAGCAAAACAAGGAATTCTTGTTATGTTTTCTTATTGGCATTATTATTATCATTGCAAATGTGTCTAGTGATATAGACACAGGCATTATCCAAACAATAATTGGGCTGCTGCTGCTGCTGCTGCTGCTATTTATTTATTTATTTATTTATTTGGTTTTTCAACTTAAAATTTTACAGAGATACATCAAACATAAATCATAAAAACCAGATTCCAAAGAATCTCCTGGACTTCCATCCTCCCTTTTGTGGGTCCTATTATTAATCATTTCCTCCCACATCTTTTATGGTAATCCAAACCCTTTACCCCTTCCATTATATCCAAAATTCACCATTAAACTACAAGTGATATTCCAATCATACGAACGATTTTAACTGTTTACAATGGTCTTTAAGATAAGTTATAAATTTCCCCCATTCCTTATTAAAAAATAATTTCGCTGTTTATAGGCCCTAGTACAGTGTGATCTAATGGTTAGAGTCACAGACTAAGACCTGAGAGAAAACAAGGTTCAAATACTGCCACTTACTGTAGCCATGAAGCTCACTGGATGGGCTTGGTGGTGAGTCCCTGCCTTTCTCAGCCTTGCAGAGTTACAGCCGAGCATCCTGTTCTCAAAGCAGCCCATTCTGCATACCCTCCAGGGTCCCAATTTTCCAGGGACAGTCCCAAAATTACAGAAGCCATCCCGGTTTCTGATTTGATCCTGGAATGTCCCGCTTTTCCTTTTCCCTTTCCTCTATGTCTCGGAGAACAATTAAAAGTGAAAATGAGTCCTGTTTATACTGCAAATAAAATACCTGCAGCAAATGAAGGGAATTCTGAAGCTGGCATACAAAGCCCTTCCTATAATTTTGAAGGAAAAGGTCACCAATCCGCTTGAAATTATTTAATTGCAAAGCTTCAGCTGCCAGCCATTTTTTTTAAGGAAACACATGAAGTGTTTATTCCTTTATTGTAAACTGAGCCTTAAACTGACTACTAAGAACTAAGTCCCACTGAGTTCAATAGGATTTACACTCTGATATGTTCCTGGTCATTCTCACAGTTTCCACCATTATTATTATTATTATTATTATTATTATTATTATTATTTCAAGACAACTTCCAGCCAAAATCTTATTTCATTCCATTTATCTGTTGAAAATGTTGTACACAATCCCTTCCTTCACACATTTCCACCCCCTTTTCTGAAGGAGCGTCTCCACCCCCATCGTTCTACCCAGACACTGAGGTCCAGCTCTGAGGGCCTTCTGGCGGTTTCCTCACTGCGAGAAGCCAAGTTACAGGGAACCAGGCAGAGGGCCTTCTTGGTAGTGGCACCCACCCTGTGGAATGCCCTCCCACCAGATGTCAAAGAGAACAACTACCAAACTTTTAGAAGACATCTGAAGGCAGCCCTGTTTAGGGAAGCTTTTAATGTTTGATGTATTACTGTATTTTAATATTTGGTTGGAAGCTTCCCAGAGTGGCTGGGGAAGCCCAGCCAGATGGGCGGGGTATAATTATTATTATTATTATTATTATTATTATTATTATCATTTATCATTATTATTATTATTCCTGATGTAGAATAGAATGTCCCTATTTTGAAATGTTGGAGGGTATGCAACTTTCCCTGATCTGTCACCCCCTTTGCAGCGCATCCCCCCTGAATTTGCTCAGGGGTGGCAGCAGGGAGACCCAACAGAACAGTGAGGAAGGTTGCATGCTTGACTACAACGAGAAACTGCCTTTCTTTCCCCAACTGGTGGGCTCTACTGGATTGCAGTTCTTTCTGGGAATGCGAGGAGCCATTCCATTTGCAGAAGAGCCCCTCAAGATCAAATCTTGCATGAGTTCCATTAGGTGGGGGAAGAGAAGGGGGCATTCCAGTAGCTAAAGAAATCCCGAATATTTCAGAAGAATATATTTCAGAAGCTAGGCGAATTAAGGGTCTGACTCTGTATAAAGCAGCTTTTGAGGTCACTGAATGATAGAGTCAGAAGGGAACCCAGGGGTCATCTAGCCCAACCCCCGGCAGTGCAGGAATCACAACAACCTTTTCAGCCCAAGGCCTTCATTGCCTTGTGGGCAGCTTCCCTGGGGCTGCAGGCCTGCGGTAGGTAGCTGATCCTTGCAATGCAGCTCTAATTATGGTCATTGCGTAATTATAAGATCTTTACGTGATCTTAGAAGGTCACACAGTCTTGACTTCCTAGGGCAAAGCCCTCAGACCTGGAAGGCTTCATTTGGATTTGGTGCCCAGCCCCTCCCCCAAACACACCACCACAAAAGGATAGGGTTTACTGGCGAGTGTTGACCTTACACACCCCATCCCAAGACTTTCCCTGTCTCAGGAGAGTTAGCATCTGTGACAAATTACCTACAGAGCAGCCGACGCCCGAGACTCAAGGGTTGCCCAACATTCTATTATAAGGACGATGGAGATCTATGGAGATGAGGATGTCATCTAATCAGGGACGTGAGGCTGGCAGACTCCACACGCCCATCTCCAAAGGATTTGCCTTGCAGTTTAGG